ACCCCGACCCCGACCCCGACCCCGACCCAGAAGGGGGCGTGGCTCTCTTGAACGCTTTGAAAGGGGGCTTCCTTAGCACCTCGTAATTCACGATTCATTTAATTATTTTCAATTCCTCATTTTCCCCGTTTTTAACCTGACAAACTGAAGAAGTGGTTTACATTTGGGAAAGAGGCTTTTCAATCCTTTAAAGGGCGCCTATACGTTTTCTTTGCCTATTTTTCTTAAACTCTCCTTTTCATGCCTTTTTTTAAAATTTTCTTTTCCCTCCACCTCTTCATTTCGTTGGCATTTGCACTTGGTAAATTTTTACCTTTCCCAACTTTTTTTACTTGTTCATCTTGTTTCATTTTTTTCTTCTGTCATTTTTATTATTTTTTTTATTTGTGAAGTTTTTTTAATCTCTACGCCCTTCCATTATTTGTACTTTTCCCGAGAGTTATTTACATTTTCACTTTATGAGTAATTCTCGTAGCACTACTCTCATTTTAATATATTTTTTGTAAACTTTTGTCTTTTCTTTTATTCTGAAAAACCTTTATATTTTATTTTTCACTGACTATTTTGCATGCCTCTTAGTAAAAGGTCATTGTCTTTAAAATAAACAAGGAAATGTTTGTTTTCTTTTGTTCTGCCACTTGTAATACTTTAACGTGTGTACAGACGATGGGCTTTTATTATTGAAATCTAAGAGGGATGCTAGTTGTTGAAAAATAAAGAAGGATGTCAGAGCCACTGTGTAGAAATAGTGGAAAAAACTTCCGGTGGCTAGCTAATACATTTGCGTGAAGTATAAATATTTTTAATTAATAATTAATCTTTCTCCAACCAAATGTTTGTAGAAAACATTTTTTACTTTCTCGGCAAAATAATATTTTAGCTCACTCAACTTAGGATGTTTTTTAATTACACAGTTGCTTTTCGCCTGTATGAAGTAGGTGTTAACGTCAATTATGATAGCTAGTGTACAATAAAGCGTAACGTTCAACGACGCAAAAGTCTATTTGAAAGATGATCTGAAAGGTGAAATGTGAGTACCGTAAAAAATTGAAATATTAACAAACACTGTCAGCGCTATTCGATGGAATTTATTGTAGATACAATTGTTATATTATTTGTATAACCAATGTTAGTCCATGTACAAATTGCACGGAAATTCTGCACAATTGCTGTTTTTAAAACATTTTGCGCGTACAAAAATATTCGAACATTGGGTATTTGATGTAAAAAGAACCAAATGTGCACGTTGGAGATAGCACAAAAATCAAATTTGCACGTTCAGATGATGGTAAGTTTAGATTTGAATTTGCTAAAATAAGCTTGGATAATGTTATTAAGAAATAAAAGACTCCATACTCATTTTTCTTATACACGATTATTACTCATGTTCCTTTGTTAAATCTTTGACCGATGTGAATAAGCCTAAGCTTATAAACATACAGTTATTATAACTAATCTTTTGGAGTTAAGAAAAATACAATTCAACTTAAGTGGAGTTAATCAATGATCTCAATCGATTGTTAAAGCGTGAACAGCCTACTCAGCTTACCGAGTAAGAGGTCTATTATAAAATATTTCATTTTCTTCGTTCTAAATTCACTTGCGCCAATTATTCAGTGAATGCAATTGGTTATATTCAGTACTTGACTGGTTGATTTCATATCTAAAAAATGTCATTAAAGTAGTATTTTTACATATGCCTTATATATTGGTTCACTATATTACCCTTCTCGTTTTAAATAGTCCCGAATAATGAATGAATATAATTTTGTTTTACGCGTGTACGAGTATTTGTTGATTTTTCTTACATAACTAATGTCTCTTTCAGTGAACATGTAATGCTACAATCACTTCAAAGTAGACATGGTCCCATTATCCTTCAAGTGAAATACTGTTCTCACTGTCTGCATGGCGTAGTACACAGAAGCGATAGGTTTCTAGCGATAGGCGCCCAGGCTATACATCTTGAGGCAGTGGAGTTGCGCTATCTTCTTATAACGGGGGTACTCACTAATCTCTAATGACGATACCCATTAACATTCAAAACATCCTTGCCATAATGAGTGAGTCACATGTTTACGATAGTCGCTAAGCTGACGTCTTCATTGATGTCATTCATTCAGCAATTATTTGTTTCAATCACTTTCTCTCCCCATTCATCCCTTTATTTATACATTAATGTGTGTATTTCTTTTTTTCCTCCTTTTTCTTTCTGTGTTTCTTCTTTTTCTTTTTGCATCTTTCTTTTCATTTTCTTGAGGGAGAGGGGGGAGGGAGGGAGTCCGACTCGGACGGTACAGCGTCTGACTGCGCTCCTGCTCGTGTGTTCGCAGAGGAAGTGTTCAGCTCCAACACGGCCATGTGGTTCTCGCCCGACAGCAGCAAGCTGGCGTACGCCACCTTCAACGACACGCGCACGCGCGTCATGACCATCCCGTACTACGGCTCGCCCACCGTGCTCGAGTTCCAGTACCCGCGCGCCATCAACCTGCGCTACCCCAAGGTGCGTTGCGCTCGCGGCGCCGTTGGGCCGTTGCAGAAAGCTACACTTGCTCTCCGATGGCGCTGCAGTCGCCCCCATCTGACGTCCGCGTACTCGCGGTCAGACGATACTCTTTACATTGATTGTTTGGTTTTACCGGTGGTGCGATCCGACGCCGACCTACACGTCGACTTGCGGGGTTTCCCCTGCTAGGTATCTCCCACCTGTGGAGCACCGTCGCTTCCGGGACAAGCTCTAAGCTCCCGACTGATCACCCGACAAGTGTGGTTGAGTAGTGCATGTAAGTGTGAGTGTGTGTGAGAGTGAGGAAAGGACATGGAAGAGGAAGAGAAGATCGCGCGCGGTTCGTGGTCTGTTAGTTGGACTACTGGTCCGCCAATAGTCTAACTTACGAGCCTTCCGTGTTGATCGGAAACACCACGGAAAACTGCCGATCAGAGGAGCCGGCTGCTAGAATTCTCCTCCACACAGCGTCTGAACACGAGCTGGTTATCTTGCTAGTGTCGAAAATCCTGCCAACGCACGTCGGGACTTCAACCTTAGGCCCTCCCATTCAGAGGTACTGCAATATACTGCTCTAGGCCACCCAAGTCAGTCGTATTATTTCGAGATCATGGATGGAGATTATGAATTGGAGGATCAATGAGTCTCCCATTAAGAATAGGGCATGATGGGGAGAAAGGACACAGCGTCATCCGTGGCCTATTATGTATCCGCCAGGAATTAATGTAAGAAAATTACGTAGACGACTGATCAAAACAGTCGGCCTCTATAATTCACTTGGGCAGCGCTCGACTTTAATCCGGCTACTTGGCTGATGTCGAAAATCCACTACCGTCGGAACTGGAACAAACGATCTCCCTGCGTAGGAACCTTGAATTACATACTCGCAAGTAATATTTATTGCCTTTCAACAAAGCATTTTATCCTAAAAAAAATATCCTTTTCTCGAATATAACGAAATATCACAAAGGTTTTAATGTCAATGGCACACTGAGACACAATTGATTAATTGGAGTTTTAGGTTACGAAAGTAAAATATGGAAGTATAATAGGTTAATGATTGATTCATATATTTGTATGAATATCTTCAAGGTGATTTGTTCGTGATTAGTTCGTGAAGCTAATAGACCAGGCTCATGAATAGACAATCAGAACCTTCTATAATGGAACGAAGGTCAAGAGAACGTGTATGTATGTATCATCAGTCCCAGAATGTTCAATTATTTTCGTAGAATTCACTTTTAGCAACAGACTGGGGTAGCGTCCTTAGTTGCTAATCCGAAAATTGATATTTTAGGTCGCACTAGGTTGGTGTCCCGACGGTGTCAGAGTTTTCGACACCTGTTAGAGAGCTGGGTACATTTGGACCATTTTACTAGCTAGATACTTGGGTACAATTCACAATTTTGTTGGCTCTAGTATATCGCAAGATATTTCTCTAATTTGCGAATCATTGGGCTGAACTAATGTCTGTTAATGTTCATTACACATTACGAATTGTTTTCTCGTGTTGTTGGGGGTCTCGCCTGTGTTGTGAATGTTTTGTTTGTAGAGCTAGGATAAAAATTAGACAACGAACGTAAATAAACAAGTGGTTTATTTACAATGCAGGCACACAAAGCTTGCACGGTCTCCACATGGCTAACCGTTCCCCCTTGGCGTTTATCAACACTGAGAACCGTTCTATTCTCTCCCGAGCTAGGAGTAGAATTGAACTTTTGAATATAATAGAACTTTAGACATTTGAATGGGATAGAACTTTAGGAAACTGCAAACAAGTCAAACCTCGAAACTGTTCAGAGATTCCTATCAAAGTATCGCCGTTCATCTGGGAAACCGTCATGATATGACATCAGTAATACACTTCACTACACGGAAATTCCAACCATTAAAGAATCAAAGCACTCGCCAGAAAACGTATGTATCAAGTTGAAAATCGCCAAAATCACCCTACAATAAATATTCTGGACAACTGTCAAGAAGCTGCCAAGAAACTGTCAAGATAACTGTCAAGAAGTAAGAATAATTAAAATATTAAAGTCTCTATATTTGGTAATGTAGTAAGTTTAGTTAAAGTATGCTGTAATAATTACGTTATTTTTTTCTGTTTAATTCATGTATATACGTTTTAACTAGCCAAGGAGTAATACCATTGGGGAATTTCTCCACTCATACTCTTCTAAATTTATGAACTAATTTGCCTGCTATATTCTAAACTGAACAAATTGCAAATAAATTGTGATAAACTCCCGAGCTCGTGAGGTCTTGGGCCCGACTGAGCGTTCTGCTGGTCTCTCCCCCAACGCTCTGCGCGTCTTCGCGCCCATCTGTGAAGCATCTCCAAAGGAATCCCATCGCACATCGCTATGCTCCGAAAGATCTTTCTTTGGTACTCTCAGGTAGTGATCTTATGGAGCAGGGTGGAGAAACGCACAAGCTCTCTTTTAGGGGCAAGAGTCTCGTGACTGATAAGGTACCTTCATCGAAAATCTCAATCATCGTTTGCGGTCTGTCAAGCTCTCATGTTTTGTTCTAACCCGAGATTCAGAGTCGCGATCACATACTCCAGTAGCTTTCAAACTGCCGAGACTCCCTTCAGGTAACAAATTCTGCACAAGTATCCCCTTATTAAAATTGTTAATTTGTTCTTTAAATTAATTAAAATTGTAATTGTTTTTTCCTGAAAGTAAGGCCATCATTTATACTTTATTATATACTTACAGTATACAAAATAAGTATTGCAAGTGATTTGCACTGTTCACTACTGTAATTACTGAATTTAATTTATGTTTGGCAAAGTGAGGAAAACTGTCAGTATAACTTTAAAAAAACGAACATATTGATAGTTTAGAAAAGCCAGTGAGATGGATGGGCTTCTTTACTGTCATTAGCATTAGAGCAATATTTTATTTAATTATTACGAAATTATCGACTCTCCCCCTTCGAAACTTCTGCGCCTTCCTAGGGAGGCGCTCCCACTGACGCGCCTCACAGTTTGAATAACACTGACCTACGCCTGTGCGCACCGAATCCCTATCGCACCGTCGATCGCGCACCCGGGGATGTTTACATCGGCAACGCGGGTCGGCAGGAGTTGACGTACCTCATTCCCAACTGGATTGGCGTCTGCCATCGCCATGGAAACGAGGAGATGCCGACCTGTCAATCCTTATGTTCCATCCCCCTCAGAATGGAAGTTGTTTCTCGTGCGAAACGGCACGTCTACCAGCTGCAACCACCGTCGTAGCCCTTTGCTGCCACTCCGACCGCCACAGCTAGCGAATTTATGCCCAGCAGCTGCTCCCTGGAGAGGCCGCATTCCCACGCCGCACCCTCCGACCTAATGCTGAAGTCCTCCCCTGGTGGCGCTTCACCCGCCTTCGCCTCCGGCGGCGACGTTTTCTACTAATTTAAATATTACTAAATTTCCAATGCACTAAGAAGTTAAAACAAAACTACGCCGATTACAGGCATGTGAGAAGAGTTTTTTTTTTTTAATTTCGTTAGATATCCTGGAGGACTCTTGGTCAGCGTGCTCGCTTTCCACTACGCGGCCCCGGGTTCGAGCCCCAGTCGTGACAAAACTGTAGTGTGCGTTTTCCTTGCACAGTCCCTGTACATGTTGCTGTGTGGCGATGAGAAAATTCACTTCTCCGATTGAGAAGACCGGAATATTGCGTGAGGATGCCTACGTGCTAACCACCTTAACCCATGGCCGCGAGGCAGGGACGTCGCCGGTAAGCCCGAGCCCGTTCATGGGCTCTCGCGCCAAGTACACACATGGATACAAATATCCGGAAACTCGGGGCTAATCCGCAAGAATGAAAATATTCGATTTGGACTGAAAAATGCAAATATTTGGTGGTTGTTTCGCCAATTCTCATACTAAGCGTACCGACTGAATTCTCACCTCATTGCTTACGACGCAGCTGACGTCGTGTGATAGCAAGACTTCGGGAAATAGACCGGCCCACTATTAAGCATTTGCTCTTCATTTCTTGCGTTACAGAGCAACTTTTTTATGTTCTTTGTGGGTAAAGCACTGGTGTACAGTACATTCATTTATGCCGAGTAGATATTCTTTTTGTATTCGTGAAGACTGTTTGTGTAACATATTTAATTTCTTGTAGTGTTGCGCGAGAGTAATTTGTATCGTTGTTGTTCTTGAGCAGTGTTCGTAATACTTTCTCGAAATCCATTTTTGCTGCTACAGTCCACAAGTGATATTATTACCTTTCGGTGCGTCTAAACTTAGCGTGGTACACTCAAAAGGTGGTGGCTCTTTGGATTTCAGCTTTCCTCACACTCCGATGATAAATATTCACAAATTTAATATATATTTAATATAATATATTAATAAATATTTGTACTGATTTTCAATAGTAACAAAAACATTCAGTATCTTCATTGAATACGTTAATAATAGCCATAAGTCAGCAAATAAATATAAATGTACGTAACAAGACCGAGAATTATCTCCTGTACGTCTTGCTATACTATGTTTTAACACGCCGTGTGCCAAAAAAGTTTCGCGCAGGCTTAGTGGTATTTGGAGCACGCTTTATTATATTTCTCACGCTATTAGTTCAAAATCAGAGAGCAGAACAGAGCAGCAGGTGCTAGATTTTTCCTTCAGATAGTGGCTGAACTCGACTTAGCTATCTCACCTGTGTCAAAAATCCTGCCAGCATCGATATTCGAAACCTAGCACCTCCCGGACTGAGGCCCTGCAGTGACATCAATTGACGCCCTAGCCGGTTCCGCAAGCGTATGTTCGTCTTAAGAAGCGCTCGCTTGCGGTCAGTAATCGGTTCTTTTGGACCGGTAGTAGCACGGGAGACCAGATGAACAATTTGTGTGATACGGGCTTCAATTTTCGCGTGCAGGTCCGGGTGTACTCGTGCCAGCAGAGGCTACAGTCGAAAGTGACGCCGAGGGTGTTAATGTTTATTGTTTCACAGATGAAGTGTCACACACCCGAAGACTAATAGATGATGAGATTTCGAAAGATTCCTGCCTCTTTTTTATTTGTAACAGTCGGATTTAGCTCCTTGACCTGACTGAGAAATCCATGACTAAGCATTTTGCCAAATTAATTTAAAACAATAAAAAGTGACTTGTTAAAATAAAAAAAAACAACATAAAAGTATACATGTGAATGTAAAACAAACGTACTAATACATAATGACATTCGAATTGTGGAAATATATCACATGAATTAAGAAATGTACATAGGAATCTTCTCAGATTGTTTCTCATTCTTCTTTTCTTCGATATTTACTTTATCATATTGTTCTCTTCCATTAAAATTATTTTTTTTTCTTTAATATCTGGTTTATTTTGCAATGTATCAACCTAAAATTTTCTTTCTGCTCTGTTACAGCCAGGGACACCAAATCCCACAGTATCTCTGACTGTAGTGCAGCTGGGAGGAGATTCTCCAAAGAGTGTAAAATTGGCACCACCAGAAACTTTGAGGTATACAATTGAGGCATTTTGGGGTGTATGAAAGTAGATCCTTTCTGGAATTTTATGTTTCATTGAAATGCAACGTGATAGCACTCCTGAAACAAGCTACTCAAGTCATAATCTTCAGTACACGTCTATTTTTGTAATGATTTGAAATATAGAAAGAGCTACTTCCTCTCCGTCATAAAAGCCTATTATCTTGATTTTACTCATGATTTGCAATACAATTGTTTACACCTTACAGCCATGATAGCAAAATATCTAACTCTCTTGATATTTCATGAGGGTGTCTTTCATTGAATTTTCAGAATATTGTGCTTCATACTGATTACTGATACTGATTTCATATTATTGAATATTTCTTGCGATTGAATGTTGAAGTTTGTGACATGATATTTATAGTAATAATAAAATAATCTAAATATTAATGATTTTGTAATTCAATTTTTTGTATTTGTTTTTGTGATCTTCCAGGGAACCCATTTTAAGTACCGTTACTTGGGCAAATGATGATGAAGTGGCTGCTATTTGGATGAATCGGGTTCAGAACAGAGGTGAACTAGTGGTCTGCACAGCAATGGCATCTCAATGCACCACTGTATGTATGAAACATACAGTTTTGAAATTGAAAATGTTATTTAGATTTTAAAGTTTGTTTTTTTTATGAATTCAATAGTTTACTGAACTGAAGAATACAGTATTTCTTTAATATTATATTAGTGATAAGCCGATCCGGTGACTGAGATCGCTAAGGCAGTAGTGCCATAGCGATCTCGTACCGAAAGATCGCAGGCTCAAGTCCCGCCTCGGGCATAGTTGTCTTGTGTTCGTCCTTTCACCCCCCCATCATCATCATCATCATCATCATCATCATCCTCATCCATCTCTCATTATCACCTTTCTGAATAACATTCAGAATTGTAACTCGAGGATTTATCCTCACCTCAAGGTGAAAACCTTCGACAGTCGACCAAAGTGAAGTGGAACGACTCAAGTGGTCCAATGTGGCCAATCAAGTTAATAATAATATTAGTGATATTACATGAAAATCATTTCAAATCATCAGAATATTCTGAATGTTGAAAATTCATTTTGTAAATAGCATCAGTACTAAACAACCATGTATTAGCTGTCTTGAACATGTCAAGCTCAGAGCATGGGATGAACATTTTCAGTTGTGCAATTTCCTTCTACAGATTGCTGCTACTGATTGCACCCATTCTCGGAATTTTTTATTTTATTTTATTTTTTTATTATTTTTTCATTCCTCCCCCTATTCTTTTGTTGTACTTAGGACAGTGGCAGGTCCCAGGAGACCATGGGATCATGCCTCCCCACCCTCCCCAAGCCAACATTGTTTATAATTTTACTTGGTTTATTCAAAACAATCACAACCATATGTTATTAGTTGCGTTATGAACAAAAGAGTATTCCCATTATGGGAATGAAATAAGTTTTATATTCACACTCTCAAATAAAAAATATTATTTCAAAAGTATTGTAAGTTTCGGAACCCTTCCCTTCCTTTTTTCTTTAAGGTTAAAAAAATAACGCAATCACATAATACATTATTATTTTTATCATAATAAGTTAAAATTCCAATATCATTATAGTTACATTAAATAATGTTATACAATCACAATTATATTAAATAATGAAATGCAGATCCTCTTCTTGCATATTTATTAAAGTTTTCAACTCAGAGCCCTATTCAGCCACATTGATATTTTCTTTTCTTTTCACAATATCATCACAGTCTAGCTACTCAACATTTTCAGACTTTACATCATTTACTACAAAACAAAGTATTATAGTTTTCCTTTTCTTTATCTATTGTTTTTCTTGAAATTATAGGCCACATTTTTAGTTTGCAAGGAGGCAGCTTTCTTTAAAGTGAAGTAAAAATGGCAAGTGGAATGTACTTCTCCTGTGATCTAGGAACCAACAAAATATAAGTCATATGGAATGACATTAGGCCTGGTCTGTTCATGATCAGTGAAGTCCTCAGGAATAAGGGCAAAATTTGTGTGTAGTGGAGAGGGTTTTGTGATAATGGTTCCCTTTACTGAAATACTTCGTTTCTCTGGTCTGTTCTGAATTTTCTGTCAAGCCAGTTGACCCACATATAATTTACACAAAACACAATGCCTCACTTTCATTCTTCCTGTTTTGAGCCATGACTGTTTTAATGTGTTTCCCCCTGCATAAACTTGAAAGTTTTCTTTTGAATTCTTTCTATATTTGCTTGGTGTGAATGTCTTTATGGATCTCAGCACATCACCCTGTATTTTATAATAAAACAGACAGGAGATGTATATTCAATTCTTTTGTGTTTACTGTATATTTCTTTAATGTTCACAATTTACATTTCAAAATGCAATGACTACAACGTCTTTCTCATTGCTTGGTTTATTATATTCTCCCACTTTTAACTTTCTATCTAACTGAATACGAAGGTGTTTATACAATGGTATTCATAAAGTGAATTCATTACCCAAATAGTAATCAGCTACAGCCTCATTATGACCCTGGCCAAATGTAATTGCTTTATTTTTTTATCCCTATATTTCCGTATCATTTATTTCAACACAATATCTCAATTTTTCTAAGTCCCATTGCAAAATATTGTCATCTTCATTTGATTTAATTACTTGGTATAACGATCCATGAATAATCATTCATCTTGGTCCACAAACAATCATTCGTTCAAACGTGTTATTTGGGAGATCATTTATGAAAGCTGTAAAAAGGAAAGACCCTATAATCTTCCTTGTGAAACACCTGATATAATCCATGCCTCTACACATGCATTTATTCCAAACATCAAAAGCTTCTCAATAAGTGGTTTATACGGAACTACATATCGAAAGTTTTTGCAAAATCAACTATTACAGCATCTACCCTTTCACCCATGGCAATTGTGTCAGCTATCTAATGAAAGAGGGAAATGCCTTGAATTTTGCAAGAAAATCCTCTTTTAAACTCATGTTGGCTGTAAAAAATCATATTTGTTTTTATTTCGTTTGCATGATATATAATTCGATATTAAGAGGCCCATTAATTTACACACTACTAAAGCGTGGGATACTGGCTGATAATTAAAAAAATTTTCACTTTATCATCTCTTTTGAACATTGGTACAGAAATAGCTAATTTCCAGTCTTTTGACACACTCTTACAAATAGAAATGTTTAAAAGCCTAAGAATGGGAGAAAAGCCTCTTTACCAATTTTACTTTTTTACTTATTACTGATTTTACTGACAGACAAGATTTCATGTGGTTCATGCAATTTTCCTTTTACCACGCTTTTTGAAGGACATTAGCATGAAGTTTTAATTGATAGTCTGTAGAAAATTGAAATATTGAAACATGTGAGAATCTAGTTTTGAATACCAATACAAAATATTTATTAAATATGTTTGCTTTAGTCCTTAGTAAGCTGTGAGTATTTACATCTCGAATTTCCAGAATTTCCTCCTTATTTCCTTTGCGTTTACATACAATGGTAGAAATTCAACCATTTATTTTTATCAGACATGAAGGCAACAATGTTTTCATACATCCAGAAGACAATCGTAAACTAAGTGTGAATTCCTAGAACAGTTTTCAGTACCAATCTCACTCTGTAATTCAATTTTTATTGGTTTTTATTGGATATTGAAGAATGTTATATCATAGCAATAATTTTCTACTCTTTAAATTATTCTATCAAAGTGAAACCTCCTCAATTACTATTGATTTTCAACGAGATTCTATGCATCAAGTACTTCAACATCAGAATATTTGAATTATTTTATAACTTGATGATATTCAAGCGAAATACCATATAATATTTGAGAAATCATGGTATTGAAGTTATTGAAACAAAGTTCCTGGGGTTTTGCAATAATATTTTCATAGCATTTTCTAAAAGTTTGTCAATTTTGTTAAAAGAAAACTTGATTTTGAGGGAACAATACTATTTACTTTTATCTAATTCACTATTATGATAGCCAGTTTAGTGTTCTTGTGGAGAAATGTGATAGATATTTGTGATTACTGATAAGAGGCCAGTTTTGCTGAGTAGAAATTCAACGACGATGGTTTCATGAAAAATTTTATATTATGAGTGAAAATCTGGCAGTTTCTTTTATAAAAAATTCTTCTTTTCGGCAGATACAAAGTCTTCATGAAGAAGCAGGATGGCTGGATCTCTTTGTTCCTCCTATTTTCTCCAAGGATGGAAAACGTGTGGTGTTTGTGTATCCACAAAATCAAAGCAATGATGCAGGTGCATATAGACATGTGACATTGATTGAGCGAGAACCCAAATTTGACTCTCTAATATCACTTACATCAGGCAAATTTGTTGTAACAGAAATTCTTGCTTGGGATGAAAAGACCCATCTTGTGTGAGTATGAGAATAATTATTTTAATTATATTCTTTGATTTTTAATTACTTGTAAAATAACTACTGAAATAATTCAATATTCATTTGCTAAGATACATTTTCTGTAGTTATATTCTACAGTGTAGGTAGAGTGAGACAAACAAGAAGATGTCTCAAGTACACAGAGGTTGTAGAAAGAAGTTGAAACAGCAAAATTAGTCTTAAATGACTGAAACTATTATACTCACTATAATACAAGTGCTTGCACAACTTGGGCTTCACTGTATGGAGGTTGTAGTGAGTTAGAAAGAAGAAAATCATACCAGGAGAAACTGGCAATGCTATGTTAAGCACCAATGCAACACAGTTTGGTTGAAATTATGGACAAAATGTCAGTTAAGATTTTATATCGCATTTCATATTAAAAAGAAATGGTAAAATACTTTTGGTTTTGTACATAAATTAGCAGCATATGTGATTGATGACCAAATTTTTAGATCCTCAACACAAAGCCTAAGTAGTGTGCAATCATTTTTGAATCAAAAATGAAGGGAAAAGGATTGTGTGGATCTATGCGGTAGTAAGGTTACAGTGTTGTAGCAGCGACCTACCTCCACATGGGATATTGCCACAGAAAGGAAAATCCCTTGATGTCTAGGTATAGATTCTCACAAATAAGAGGTGAAAGGCACAACTTCCTCAGAAAGCAGCCCTCCATGTTGAAGGTATTAATGACTTTTGGAAAGACATGAACATTGACACCAAGCTCAAAACACAAGCAATCGCCATACCAACATTTACAGAAAGGCCAGACAATGTATGTTAAGAAAGAGAGAAACTATGATTGGAAGCAGCATGATTGAGATTTTTGAGACTTCTGCCAGGAAATCACCAAGGAGTGATAAACAGAGAAATGAAGATATTAGAAATAAATTAAAAGTCAATAAACAGAAGATGGTCAAGGAAGATGATTGGTGTGTCAAAAGCCCAAGAATTTCTAGAATAATTTTACACTACTAACCAGGAAAAAGACCCGAAGTGAAGTGGGAAAAGCAGAACATTTAATGGATTGAAACATGGCATTACAGGAAAAGGTTCAGATGACTAACCTCCTGTGTGTTCCTGATTATGATAAAAAAAAGTGTACAAAAATTTGTATTTCAATTTTTGATAAATAGATTTGAACAATAATTTCTAAAATAACTAATAAACGAAACAATTTATCATAACCAGAATGGGGAGTTTAGGACAACTAAGATTTATCTTGTCACTGCCATATGCACTGAAATATAATATAAGAACAAAAAACTGAAATGTACTATACAGAAATAAAGCTATAAAGATTTGAAAAATAAAGTGAAATTAGATAAAAAGAATGAGCACATATAGGTAAGAGAATATGAAGTAAGTAACCAATTCTAATGTTCTGTTTGTTCATTTTCTCTTCATAGGTATTTCCTTGGTACTGATGAAAACGATCCAGCAACCTTACACTTATATAGTGTATCAGATAATGCTAGCACAGCACCAAATCAACACACGTGTATTAGTTGTCAATTTAAGACACGTGCTTCTGGCAAATCTTGTTTGTATAATAAAGCATCCTTTAGCAAGGATTGTTCCTTCTTCATGCACAGCTGCAGTGGACCCGACGTTCCTGAAGTTAGCTTGTATGATAAGGTACACAACATTTTGTTTATTTGCTTGTTTTTTTTTTTGTTTTTATTTTCATTTCTTTTCTAAGAGAATGTTTTTGAAATTCTGTTCACTTATTTTCAATAAACAAGTTGAATTTAGTTGAGGTAAGTAAAACATCTAAATAATATTTCTTGTGAAGAAACCAGCTGTATAAAAAGATTTTATACAGAGAAAGAAAATCTAAAAAATAAAAAAATGAAAATAGTAAAAAAGAAAATTTAAAAAAACACATTTTTACTTATATAATTTGAAGGAAAACAAACATGTGATGATTTGGGAGGATAATCAAGAAGTTCGAGAACTTCTGAAGGATCGAGTACTGCCAACCATCAAGCAGATGAGGGTAGATGTTCCTGGTGGCTTTCAAGCTTTAGTCCAACTGCTTCTTCCTCCAAATATGGATACTTCTGGTCATACCAAGTACCCTCTTCTTGTTAATGTGTAAGTAAAATTATTACATTATTTCAGTATTAATTAAAATTTCTCTATATTCTAATATGTTTTTTGTTTTTGCAGATATGGAGGTCCAGATTCCACACAAGTGACAAAACGTTTCAATGTTGATTGGAGTTCTTACTTAACTGTAAATCATAGTATAATTTATGCAGCCATTGATGGCAGAGGTTCTGGCCTCAAAGGCAACAGAATGCTTTTTTCTGGATATCGACGATTAGGAAGTGTAGAAATAGATGATCAAGTTAATGTAACTAAGTAAGTAGTATCAGCAATTTTTGTAAGTAAATATTTCAACCAATCTCCTATAAAAACATTTGAATATTTCTTATAAATATAGCAATTAATAAATAACTTGTCTTATAATTTACTGTGAGCAAACATATTTACCATTACTTTGATCATAAGTTATGTGGAATGGGAGTACTGAAGGCAATGTGGGTTATTAGGTACCTGCAAGACACCTTATCTTTCATTGACAAGAACCGTACAGCTATATGGGGTTGGAGCTATGGTGGTTATAGTACAGGAATGGCTCTTGCTAAGGACAAACAAGGTGTTTTCAAATGTGGAATTGCTGTAGCTCCTGTAACAGACTGGGCATACTATGGTAAGGAATTTGTATTTACGTTAAATGAGTCACAGTAGAACTAATTTACCACTTAAAAAAAAAAAGAAGTTACCATAAAAAGATCTTATATTATAAAACTACAATTTTAATTTTATAATACTATCTATGATGGTGACAATAAAAATATAATCATGAATTTTATAGAGTGTTTCTAATTAAATACTCTATAATGAATTTACTGTACTTAAACATCGTATCTTCTAATTTTTTTCTTTTCATATATTATAATGTAAATAACATGATGCGTGTTACAAAACTATTGTTACTTTGTTACTAAACATCTTGTAACTTTGGTACATGTATAACAATTTCATGGGGAGGGGGGGTGTTTTTTGATTTCACATTAAATTTCATAAAATGTTCTGAAAGTGTACTTAATTACATTACAGAATTCAAATGAAGAATGCTTTATTTATTCTATTCTGTGTTTTTTTAGATACAATTTACACTGAAAGGTATATGGGCCTTCCGACACAATCTGATAATTTAGATGGTTATGTTGAATCTGAACTTAATAATAAGTATGAAAACTTCCGAAACAAAATGTTTTTCCTGGTACATGGAACACTTGATGACAATGTGCATTATCAACAGTCCATGATGCTATCAAAAGTGTTGGAGCACCATGATATTCTCTTCAGACAACAGGTGGGAACAATCAAAATATAGTGGAAAATACAGTTCATTAGGTACCTCTGGACTACTACTTTCCAAAGTTTGTAATATACCTTATTACTCATCAGTGACTGTTTAAATCATTCATGAATGCTCAGGTCTTGCAAGCAATTAATTTACAAGTTTTACTGTATTTCAAATGAGTGGATTACAAGAAGATGCATGAAAGATGATTATTTTTCAATGTAGTTGATGATGAAATGAAGGTGTTATAGCATGCAAGTGTTTATATACGGTATCTGTATGGTCATCAATAATTATTTTATAAACTAGTGCGTTGCAAACAGTAGAAGAGTATTTGTTTCAATCAAATTTATTTAAGAGAGGGAGGAGACACATACTTGTCAAATGAGATCATGCAAATGATGTCTCTGATGTAAAGGGAAAATAATTTAATTTCATCTAGTCAATTCACTGAAAATATGAGATGAGTTGATTGTTTCTAATTTCCATTCTTTATTCGAAATTGTTACCTAGAGAAGAGGAAAAAGTTTAAAATTGTTAATAAAATTGATACCTACAGAGGTGGGAAGAGATTCAAGAAAAATTGCAAACTTATTTTTTTAATAGCCCTTTTCCATCAATTACTTTTATTTCTGGATATTCATATGGTTAAAAAATTCCTATTGTAATTCCCTCCTTGTCAATGTAAAATATAGACTTGTTTGTTAATTCTGGAGGAAACCCTTCATTAATAACTATGCATCCTAAGCATTAACGTATTTTTAAAAAAATTTAAAAAATCTTGAAATGTTTTGATAGAAACCAAAGAATGAATAGCAACTATATTTTAACATTCATTTTTCAGAGTTACCCAGATGAGGAACATGGACTTGCTGGAGTAAGGCCTCATCTTTACCATAGTCTGGAGAATTTCTTGGAAGAGTGTTTCAAACTAAAATGAAATAAATTTTTATGTTCATTGTGAACAAAAGTACACATTTTCATCACAGAAGAGACAAATGCTGCATTTTCAATGCAAGAAAATTTGGGACTAAGTCGTGATGGAATTTTGTATTGCTGGAGCTTTTGTGACTTAACAAGATTTCTCACGACATCAAGAGCAGCTGAGTTTTATTAATTGTTTTCCAAGTTCATTGACTTTCATATTTTGAGACAATTCAGTTTTAGACATTTATTTTAGAATAAGATATACTTCTGCTTTACTTGGCTGAATGTATGTCATGTTTTTATGAAAGAGAGTATGTACTTAGTTCTGAAATACCATGAAGAAAATCGCATAGGTATTTCAAGACTGGCTGATTCACTGTCAGGTTTTACTGAGCAGTGTTACATTTGATATTAATGAGCTTTCCTTGAATGGAAGTCATTACAGTGGCCATTATTGTAAAAAGAGATGTCGAGTTGAATGATCATGAATGGAATGATGAATATTATGGACAGAAGGAAAAAGTTTGTGAAGTGATGGTACACAGGCTCATGAGCCAAAGGTGAAGAACTAGTCATGAAGAGACAAGCTGAAGCCTATAAGATGATTTACACAAATTAAGAAATGGGTCATATGTGCTGTTTTTGTTTTTAATATGCCATAGTTTTTCAATTCAATTTTTATATTTTTATTTCAGTGTGGACAATATTTCTGAAAGCAAAACAAATATTGTTACTGGCGGTTATGTAGAGGCACAAATATTTCCATGAGAAAAACAGTATTATGTTTTATGTGAAATATTATCAATGTGAACCAAGTGCAATTATAACCGTACCTTCCTAGCTTATGAATTAGCTTTTATAAATTTTTCACAATTCCGAGAAGATAATTGTAGAATCTTTGAGATAAAATTTAGAAAAAGAAGTTGATTGACTTGTAAAATTTCAACAATGCATCAGTTACTGAAACAATGTTAATGAATCTCAGATGGAAATTTAAGGGTCATAGTTATTAAAACTGTAAACATTTCATCAAATATATGACATTTGTTTCTAAATGATTAATTTGACTTCAATTTATTTCACCATGACTAATTTTAAAATAAAAATTGTGAAATATACATTTACTTTTTTCAATTAGAAAGTGCAAAGTATGATTTTTCATTACATTGTAATAAATTTCAACAACTTTCATTGATTATCCTGTCAACAATATGATGGATGCTGATGGATATATATTGTGTATTGCTGATACAGGAACGTTTTCAGTTAGTGCAGAATGAAGAAGAATTAAACGGGTCCTGGAAGAGTTCCAAAAATGATAATTGCATCTCAATGTTTTAGATCTCATTTCTTCTGTAATCACAAATCCATATTAGTCATTGATTATATTGTTTTTATTTTCTATTACAGTTTTATGAATAACACCATAGTGTTTTACAGTTAGGCTTGTTCTCATATACTTGACAATCATTACATGGTGCTGTTGAAAGCAGAAACAGCTTTGTTTGTAATTTTTAATGTGAATAAAACTCTCCAGAAACTGTACTTTAATGTAACTTTTGTTTATTTTTGTTGATAAAAGTTCCAGTTCAGGAAACAGTGATTATTTGACAAATAAGTACTTCATTTTCTATGTTCTCATGTATAATATAGTATAGAGAAAGACCTGTAATTCTGCTGAAAAAATTTCTTAATTTTTTACTGAAAAATTTGTTTTGTGGGTTTCTAGTGCAGAAAAGTGAGTTTTTTGTGCTCCTTTATAAAGTAAATTATTTTTTAAACACTTGGTGTAAACATAATGAATGATTTGTGAGTCCTAGATGACAAAAAAGTGATTTTCTGAAATCCAACCTGAGTCTGTCAATGTGTGGACACACTCCTAGCATGTGAACTATTTTCAGAAACCAATGACATTTTTCAAAAATGGTTCCAAGTTTTTCTTTAAATATTTTGCTCAAAAAGAGAAAATATTATGCATTTCCACACTTCTTTGAAGTCTGAATTTTTGAAAATTCATCAACTACATAATTGCAGATAGATTTATTTGTGAATAAAATCTGTCTCTCCAAATTAGATCTTTAATTAATGTCATACACAATTTTTGAAAGTGGGAGTACTTTTTGTTTAATTTTGAGTGAAATCATGGCAAAAAAAACAACACAAAGAAGAAATTCTCAAAAATGGTTCTAAATTTTTACTTTTTTCTTTTTTTTCCCTCCCAAGGAGAGTAAAGATGAACATTTTTTGTGGTGTAACAGTTATCAAATTGGAATGTTGTACCCAAGTTTGCAGGTTCAAATCTGACCAAAGCCTTAGATATATGAGTGAAAAATCCTTCAAATGGAGGGGATGTAAAAGTGGCTGCCCCATATTATTGATTTACAGCTTGTAAAAGGTCTTCAATCCTACAGAAAGCCTCTGAGTCTAATTCTAATTGTCTGTGACATCGTCCAAGTGATGCCTTCTTTCTCAGCCAGATGGCAAAAGGAGTGTATTAAAATTTGCAAAATGTGAAAATGTTCAAATTCTTTTCAAATTTTATTTATGCCTTTAATATTGAAGCTAGAGATTGCTTTGTAAATACAAAGTATTTCTAAATATTAGATTTTCAAATAATTTCATGTACCCTTATTTTAAAAATATTAGTAGTTTTCGTGTAATTTCTAGTTGTCATATTTTACACCTTGAGTCTCAAATATTGATTAAATATTTTAAATAAATGTTCAGTAGTGGCTAGAACCCCAAAAGCTGCTCAATGCTGAACATCCAGGAGGAGGAGAGAGTGACCTTTAAATATTTTAATCAAACAATTAGATAAAACAAATGCAGTGAAAAGCAATAAACTCCTTCTCTGGAGCCTTCTATATGCAACATACAGCACTCCATGCCATTTCTATATTTGTTAGGAATTTAAATGAAATTGCTGTCTTGACTATTAGAATGAAGTGTTGCATTTACTGGTTCATGTAATATTTGGAAAATGCTCATTATTGAAATCACGTTTTTATCAAATGAAAATTTTAAGAAAAAACTAAATCTCCCTATTTTTATGGAGGATTACAAATGTGGACTTTGCTTGCCTGGGTAACACATACCTGAAATCTTCAATAAAAAATATTACTCTTTAAAATGATACTTAACCTTTTATAATAATGTTCTCACTTTTCATTAAAATGTTACTCAGTAAATGGTCTAGTGTATAGTCAACTGAAGCAGCTGGTGTTATTGAGTTTGAGAGAAGAAAAAATTCTTGCTAAACTAATCACATGATTTGCTAAACTACATGCATTTTCCCAGTGATCAAAAGTTTGTACCTGCCCTATTTTAAAGTAAAATTGAAAAATATGTTTCCTCCACCTATAGTTTGGAAAACTTATTCAGAAAATTTAAAACAGAGTTACAATGGACGACGTTCATCTATGCCATTCGATGGCCTTATGGTTTGGCGAAAACAAGAAAATCATTCAGACAATAGTTATTGTCTCAGTAAAGTATCTGGTTATAATAAGAAGAATATAGAGGCCCTATTCTATCCTAATTTTCCATCAGCAATAAGACCTGTGCCACATGGACCAGATGTTTCAATATCCATATCACCTACAGCAAAACCAGAAAGTACTACCAGTTTTTATTCTTAGAGTGCAGAAGAACATGATCTAGACTTCTCAGAATTAGATCACACTCCATACCCATTGACACAATCCCTATAAAATGATTTGTTATGTGACATGGGTCTTTTGAAACAGAAGAGTGAACTATTAGGTTCCAGATTGAAAGGTAAAAAATAGGCACAAGAACAACTTTTTTGGTACAGACATTGGGAAGAATAAAAAATATTTTGCAAAGGTAGTGGATCTTCTATTCAGTTTGGACACACTCGGCTTGATTGGTCGCCTAGGAAAAACATAAATCAGAAGATAGGTGTTTTTATTTTGACTCTAATAAATGAAGTCTAAAAGGTGTTCTTCTGCCCAACTTGCTTCAATTCCAACAACTCATTTTACATCTCTCAAGGAAGCTTATCAAAATTTGTATAATATTATAGAAACAATTTAATGTAATGGACACCATCGCTATGTATACTGTGATTTTAAAGTGTGCGTTATCTTATTGGGATATCAAGGAGGATACTCCAAATTTCCATGTTCCTTATGTGAATGGGTCTTCAGACCTAGAGAAAGACACTGGGAAGATACAGATTGGCCGAAAAGAAACTTAGTGCAAGGAACAAAAAATGTAATTAATTGCCCACTTATTAACTCACCAAAAATGTGGCTACCTTGCCTGCATATCAAACTAGGAATAATGAAGAAATTTGTAAAAGGTTTGGACAAAACTGGTTCTTTCTTTTAACATCTTGTGCAAATGTTTCCATTGTCAGTAAGAAAAGTGAGAGACGCTTTTGATGGTCCAACCGATTCACCAACTAATTAAAGATGTCAGTTTCAAAAGTGCAATGACTCTTGGTAAAGCATGGGACTTATTGAAGGATGTAACCAACAATTTTCTAGGTAATATGAAAGATGTCCAATATGAGCCGGATAACAATGCTCGACAAATTTAAGGTACTTGGATGTAAAATGAGCTTGAATTTATATTTTGTCCATTCCCATCTTGAATACTTCCCAGAAAACTTAGGAGTGCTAAGTGAAGAAAAGGAGAGAAATATAATCAAAATATGAAACAGATAAAAATGAAGTACCAGGGTCGATGGAATTTCTCCATGGTGGCAGACTACTGTTAATTTTTATAAAGGGACAAAACTCGTCTGGACCATAAACCTCAAACAACTAAGTTCATTTTCCGCAAAGAGGAGAAAATTGTTTTCCTATGGTGAGTGTGAAATTTCTCTGTTCATTTTCAACTATTGTATCAGTGGAATTAATATTTTACAATGTTTTATCCATTTCAAAATATGCTCATGAAAAGGGCTGAGAGCTCATTAAAACTTAAATATATATTTTCTGCACAGTACAAAATCCATATATGATAATTGGCAATGGCAAGCAGATCTGGATTCAGCACAACAATATTAGGTTAGAGACGTTTTCAACCTTGTGCCACAGAACATAAAGTTAACTTCACAGGACTGTGTAATCAACTTCAACTTGCAATAACTCACAATTCATGTCTAAAGAGTCCGAAAGAAAGTCTCTCTACTCATGTGTAAATTGTTTAGTCTATGGGAAAGCATTCCTCTAGGAATCGTTCCATCTTGCGATAATAATGGGGCCATACAGTGGCAAAACCATGTCCTACATCTGGATACACCTAAAAAAGAAAGGGAAAATTAGTATGAGACCTTCCAAATAAATTTTCTAAACTTGAGTAATTTAAAGTATTTATTTTAAATAATTATTTCAGAGCATTTTAAAAAAATAACATAATAAAAAGCAGTTATCTAATTTAAATATAAAGCAGTTATAAAATCTACACCAAGTTGTATGTGTTTCCAATTCCCGTGTATTTTAAAAGATGATGACTTTTCATCTGAAAAATAATGCTTATTGAGAATAATTTTACAAATTTCCTAAATGGCAAATAAAGTTCATCTTGTTAGACCATCAAAATTCTCACTTCTTATAAATGCCAAGAACTGCACCTCTTGTGTACTAAATATTGAAAGTACTCATTATCTCTTAAAATTTTGCCAATGTTTTGAGGAAATTTATCGAACATCTTCCTGATTTCAAGATTGAATAAAAAATGTTTGACATTCACTCTTGGATTTGAATAACGCCCATCTTCGTAATTAATCCCCTTCACTGCAGACTTGTGGGAAATCACGTGCCCTACCTAATGCGTACTTAAATCCACATTCGAAAACAATGGAACCTGATTTGCAAAAACAGATTTTTTATTTATAAAATATTTAATACGTTGTTGTAGATTGTGACTTTTGATCCCACATTCGAGGTGTTAGGAACTACTCTTTGTGTCCGAGTGTGGCACATTTTTGTCTGTAAATGAAATCTGAGCAAAAATTTAGAAACTTGCATCGCAGTATTTATTTCTCTGTTCGCTGCTAGATAGTATTGTGGCAACAGGTCTGTTCTAAGAGGCAAACTAAATGCATGACTACAAGAGATCTTTGGACGGCCTCCCGTGAAAAACACTGAAGAGCGGCAAAGGAAAATGTGAAGCAGTTCACTTTTTCTCAATAGGCAGGAATTAGAACGGCACGTTGAACTTTTGCATTGCAACATACGGATTTCTGATAGGGTCGTGCTGAGGTGTAAGCTCAACAAGGTCTGTGATGTTTCATCATAGCTGGAGCGTGACCGAGGACATTTTCTTCTCACCGAACAATTATTCAATTCATCTTATTTTCATTTAATGATATATTAATTTTCTCGTTGTATGTGCATTAATCATTAAGTATGTTGAATAAAGTCGTATCTAATGTATATTTTTTTCAGCGTCATCTCAGTTGTTAGGATAAAACCATAATTATGGGGAATGAAATAAAGAGAGCTGGGGCAGCTTAACTAGAATTTGATACGTGGCCCACAAGTCCTTCTAAGTTGGACAGCCCTGGCCTAGCAGGTATCAGCTGTTGACAGTTTCATTCAATCGGAAGCTAGAACGTCACCATGGTGACGTCACTGTGGTGACATTCAAGCTCCCGATTGAATGAAACCGTCAACAGCTGATACCTGCCAGCAGCAGAGATACATAAATCGCAGTTTAGAATTTGACGTGTGCCCTTCTAAGTTAGACGGCCCTGGGTCCAAGACCAAGAGTTAGGTCGAGGGAGAAGCGCCTCTCACCTGGAACTCGAAGGGGATGTCCCGCCGCTGCAGCTCGCGCGCCAGGTTGAGCGAGTGGCGCAGGTGCACGCTGAGGTCGTGGGTGCCGTGGATGAGCAGCAGGCGCTTCCCGCGGAAGCCCTCGGCGTGTGCCGTGAGGTCCGCGCGCGCGTACCCGGCCGCGTTGTCGTCCGGCGTCGGCAGGTGCAGGTAGCGCTCCGCGTACAGGGCGTCTGCGGCCAGCCCGAAACGCAAGGAGACGTGCGTAAAATGCACGAATGTTATCACCGGCTTAGGTTGCACAGAGCATGAACTGATGTCACTGCAGTGTCTGTGACCGCGAGGTCCTAGAGGTCGACGGTTGCAGGATTTTCGACAGTAGCTGAATGGGTTGAATTCAGCCGCGGCCTGGAGAAGAATTCTAGCGGTCGGCTGCGCTGATCGGTTGTTCTCCGATAGCCAGGTGAATGCCGAAGCAGTACTCTAATAACGGGCGACGGACCGCGCGCGATCTTTCCTTCCTCTTCCTTGTTCTATCTTTACCCTTTCTTACACACACATGTACTTCACTACTTCACGTCGGATGTCTAGTCAGAAGTCCCGGCTGGGGCCGTGCCCCGCTGGTAAGAGGTGCCTGGTTGGGGTAAACTTCACTAGCTGACCCACTAGCCGACAGAACTGGCAATCCAGCGGGGGGATCACCGCTATCGCAAACACGAAATAATCAGTCAATGAATCTGCCAGCATTGACAAGACGAAGCACTCAGGCTTTGGTTGGTGCTACTATGTTGTCTGATCTTATTGACTATTATTTTAAAAAACATTGCAATCCATTGAGTAGCAAATATTTATTGACTTATTTAAGAACACTATTAAGAATATGGTCCATAAAGACAACTGGTAGGTTTTTAACACTAGTTGCATTGCTAGATCGAGAGAGGAGAATTCTAGCGGCCGGCTGCTCTGATGGGCAGATTTATGTGGTTTCTTGCATCAATACCAGGCAAATGGTAGAGTTGTACCTAATAAGCGGGCCACGGACCGCACACAATCTTTACTTTGTCTTTCTCATACAGTTTCCCCTTACACATGCCTACAACACATTCCAGAGGGGAAGGAATCCCTGCCACCTCCCGAAATAAAATTTAACTTCATTAATGGAATTTATTACCAAAGCAGTTGACGTGCCCGGAGATATCAATCATATTAATTTAGTCCTTGTGTGGGCAGGGCATGAAGAATGTTAAGTTTTCAGTAAACTTAGACACTGTTTTCACCAAAAGACAGCAAATAATTGCTTACCATCACTTCCCTGTATTTAGACCATTGTAGAAAGAAATAAACATTATGCTGCGTGCACATGGAGTATCTTTTTGTTCAATTTTGTGCATGCGTCAGTGTAAGTCGATGATGAATTATTGTCGTCTTCTCTGGAAAGAACGCGTGCATTTTCTCACGAGAGACGAAATCTCGGGCGCCATGAACATGCGTTCTCCTCAAAGAGAAAATAGTGTGCACCATTCAAAGCATAGAAAATGCATTTGTATATGCTCTAGCGCTCTTTCTTGACTAATTCGCCTCTACGTAATACGCAAGTCCATTTCCAACCATTCCAATCCGGGAGTGAGCGGACATGCGATAGATTAATCTAGGCTCAAAGGGTCGCGGGTTCAAATCTCGCCTTGGGGGTGAATATTACTTAAGTATGGAACATGTCGAAGCCTACCCAAACTCCTGTAAATAACCTTCAAAGACCCTAATCGTTCCCAGTGCTCTCCCCGCATTTAAGCATGTAGGATATAAAATTGAGCTGCTTGTGTGCCAGGGTGAGTAAGCAACGAAGTGGGTCTGTGGGCTGCTACTTGGGCGCCTAGCCGTCACCTTACTTCCTACCAGGGTAACAAAGTTGAAGCGCCTTCACTGCCTTACGAGTCACTAGGGACAGGAAAAAGTTTTCGGCCGCAATAGGCTTACAATTCACAGCGGAGTTCACATTGGAGACGAGGGTCAAGATTCCCTAGGGTATAACAAGACATTGAGAGCAAGGAAGTCCATCAGCTGGAAACTGAGAGATTTAATCAGCTCCAAAAATGTCCAATAATGGTGAATATGATGATGATGAATGAATTAATGAACTTGAACACCAATAATTGATTGTTTAATGTTTCCTGGCGCGTCAACTGCTTATGACATTAGTCCCGTCAGTGCAGTGCATGCTTTTACCGCGGGACATGGCGATAATCTTCACTCACTGGATGGTGATATCCGACGGTGACCTGCACGTCGGCTAACGGAGTTTCCCCAACCAGGCGTCTCCCATGAGCGGGGTGCTACCCAGACGGGACATGTTGTAAGATCCCGACTGGACCCCCAGCATGTGCGGTAGTGTAGTACATGCTAGTGTATGAGTGTGAGAATAGGACAAGGGAGAGGAAGGAAAGGTCGCGCGAGGTCCTTGTCCCGTTGGTTGAGGTACAGCTCCGGCATTCGGGTGCTGTTCATCGGAGAAACCACGGAAAACTACCGATCAGAGCTTCTATTTATTAGCAATTATTCTCCAGACAGCGGCTGAATTCGACCTAGCTATTTATCTGGTGTCGAAAATTCTGCCACCATTAGGTCTCGAACCCTTGGATCTCCCGGTGAGAGGCACTGCAGCGAATCAATTGATGCTTAAGCCGGCCTAACGCCAACAGCAGCTCTGACTCACGGTAGTGGTTCCAGGAGACGACGGGCGAGACGGCGATGGCGCAGCGCACGGTGCGCGTGGCGTCGCGCGCCATGGTCATGGCGGCCAGGTAGCCCCCGCGGCTCCACCCCCACACCGCCACGCGCGCCGCGTCGATGTAGTTGAAGCGCTCCACCAGCTCCCTGCGCCGATGCAATTACAAGCACAAGTGGAAATTCGTGCCATTAAATCGCAGGGGAAGTTCAAAGGATTTACTTGTCCGGATATTTATTTCAGTCAAACATGATTCAAGAGATGAGATTTTGAAACCGTCACCCTTTCTAGTCTTTTCTCGGTAATCACGTTGAAGTATCCTAAGCCACTAAAACAATTGGAGGTGCTCGATTATTAAATCTCGAAATACGTGCATAGACATAACCTCGAAAAAATTCCCCATCGATATTTAACTGTATTATTTGTTTTGCGTGTCTGTCAGTATTGTCTTATGAATTTTGTGTGAAACATCTGAAAGAGCCGAACGGCCGAACGATGTAAAATCAAGCTCACCATAATTTTTTTTTGAGTCCAAAAAAAACTAGCTATGCGAAGGTTAGTGTCTCACCTGATGGCCTCCAGCTGGTCGTCCACGTCGTCCTGTCCGATGCCCTTGTGCGGGGGCCCGTTGCCCGCCGCCACCACGGCGTACACCACGCTGCGGTTGGCCGCCAGGTGCGCGCGCCAGTCCACGTTGAAGCGCTCCGACGAGCGCTGCGCGCCGTCCCACTCCTCGTTCCTGCGGCACGGCCACTCGCGCCTCGCACCCCGCACCCACGCACACGCGCACGCGCACGCGGCAGCTCGCAGCAACGCCCCGCCGCTGCTGCTACGCACCCGGCTAGGGCGGCTCAGAGCCAGAGGACAATTCTAGCGGCCGGCTGCTCGGATAGTTTTCCGTGGATTCTCCTATTAACGCCAGGGGAACAAACGGACCGCGCGCGATCTTTCCTTCCCATTCCTTGTCCTGTTCTAACCATTTATTTACATACACTTACACTTGCATGCACTACACTACCACACATGTCGGGAGACCACTCGAGAACCGAGAACTTGTCCCGACTGGGGCGACGCCCCGGTGGTGGTTAGGGATAAAAAAAAAAACCTCTAGCCGACGTGTAGGTCAGCACTGGATCTCGCCATCCCGCGAGGAAGATTCTCCCTCCAGCGATGAAGTATGCACTACGCTTACGAAACTAATGATCTTAGCAGTTGACGCCCCCGGAAACCCTAATCAATCAATCAACTATTCAAGCAGAATAATGCTCGCCACAGAACGTAAGCATTATCTCCGCTCCCTGCTTAACCCATTAGTGCCTACCACTATTCAAACACAATAATCTTCTAAGAGAATTCAGGAAACATCACGAGCAAAGAAACAATATTTTCAAGTCAAATAATCAAATTGATATTCACAATTGTGTCAAACGTGGTAATCTAATGCCTTTATTAGTAAAGATCGAAACAGCGAAAATAATATATATATATATATATATATATATATATATATATATATATATATATATAACTAAATAATTTAATAATAAAAGTAAATAAAAGAATTTAATTTTTAATAACTACCGCCTGTTTGAAGTACATAAAATAAAGAAATTCATTGCTCTTAGGACCAAGAATTGAACATGTTACGTAATGTATTACAGATTTCATGGTTTGGGGAAAAAAATGTAAAATTTGTTTTGACCTTGAAGTTGAAAATCCGTTTTCTATATTTCCATTTTTCTGAAAAACAAAGGTAAAAGACAAGTAATTTACTACTTTTTGTATCTAAACCTCAGGAAACAAACCTCAACAAAATATGATTTTCTCTCACATTTAGACATTAACACAACTCAAAAGCAAATGACTTTTAGAAAAATCGGCAGATGTTTCAACAATGCATTCCAAAAATTTGGGCTGGAGTGACATAAACTTAATTTCTACTATCTAATGCACAATCACAAAGCATTTTTAATACATTAACATTTTTATGTTAGAAGAATTCACCTAATTCCGAAGAGAAAATGTTCTCGAAACATCTAAAAGTATCCGATTTTACGTCGTTGGAGTAGTCGCGTCCCATTTCGTAACGCAAATGATTACATGGGCTACGTATGTAAAACCCAACTCCATATTACATTTTTTATCGTGAGTTTTGTAAAAACTTTCTAAACTAGTACTCTCTTATAACAAAATGTTTATTTGAGTGATGTAAAAATCATTAAATGTTAATGTATGGCATTTAAATCTACCAGCGTTATTTCCCGGATGAAAAATCGGATAAGTGACGCATTAACATACAAAATGTTTTATTTCGTTATTGAAATTCATCATGTGTCATTCAGCACTCGTGACAATAGCATGTCACTATAGTAAATGACAATAGTATACTACGTCTTTGACAATACTTTATTGTCTTTTGTGTTTCCTGCAAGGCACACTTCCTATCACACTAACAAAAGGCCTCATGCGGGCTATAACTGCTTGCTATGAAACGTTTCCGCCCATATGTGGCCCCAGGAGAGTTCTCCATAATTAAAATATAAATAGAAATTTGAAAAACTAATTTGTTATAATACCTTTGCAACCATTCAGAAACGAAAATTGTGTTTTTTAAATTTATGAAGCATTGCCGAGCTAATTCCTGACTTAACGATAATTTTGCGAAGTGAACATGATGAAACTAGTGTAATAAAATATCTAAAAAATACCGTTTTGGATTTCTGTAATCAATTGACGAAGCAACTGCAAGCACACGTTGCCTTCTCTGGTTTCTACACAGCATCCTCGTCAATTCGCAGATCGATAATTAAACCCATTTAGCTAGGGGAAGTCATCGACAGGGCTTGTTTGCAACCACGGCGATGGTCGGAAATTGGGTCGACGTTGGCAATCTCGCATGTTACCTACTCGACTCGGAAATTCAAGCCTCGAGGTGTTTCCACAGGAGGTCGATGAGAATTTAAAGATTGAAACGAAATGGATATTAGCGTGCAGATTGCATTATTTATAGTATTTTTTAAAATATGTGTATATATAGGGTATATGTATATATGTATAAACTTATATATATTATATGTTTATAATACTTATATGTATAGATGTATGTGTGTGTATAGGAGAGTTATTAACAGCACATACATTTTAAAAAAAATCATATACATTAAAAATATTTCTCTCTGTCTGTAGAAATTGTGGCTGTCGTTGAGTACTCGTAATTTTTATTAACACTGTCAGAGTTAAATAAAGCTGCCATTGAAACAAAAGAGCTGCAAAATCCGGCCTCCACTTTTAATAACGAGATGGCCTCTCATCTCCTGTAGGACGCAATATTGCTGGTTGGAAAAAATCGATTCTCATTTAGAGAAGCCTTTTAAATATAGGATCGATTTTGCGAGAGAAGAGCTCTGAGTTTCAGAAAATAAATTTGTATCTCGTGAAGGGAAGAGGTAGGAAAGTAATTGAGAAGCTTACTGTCCAGAAACTCTGATACGCACTACCAGGATCAAAATATTTCGTTGAAATCACTTTCCATTTGTAAAGGTACCGTTCAGGACCTGTTTAATATCATATTCCTATATTCATTCGAAGAATTTCGACTCTTGTGTTGCAGCTACTATCGTATTTACAATTGGTGTTTCTGTTGATCGTCCTTATTGTTGTTCGTTGTATTTGTCGTCGACTGATTTCCATATTTAACCGTTGTTATTGCAGCTGCCACTGGGGTCGACTTTGTCTATTTCTTCATATGTCGTTTCCTATGTTCGGTTATTATTGTTTTCATTGTTCTCAGGATAATCTGTGTTGCCGTATCAGCATCTCAGGCGAGATTTCTAAGTTCCGAATCACTACAGCGGCGATTTTTGAAACAGCGTTGCCGGTTAGGGCGAATATCTGCTCAAGTAATATCTTGGAAGTTCGATCAAGTCAATATTCTGTTTTCGCCGGTCAATACCAAACAAAATGCTGAAACAGTACCCTACAATCGAGTCTTGGCCACATGAAACCTTTCTTTCCTTCTCGTCCTTCGCGCTCCCACTACACACACACACACACACACACGCACTACGAGTGCCACTATAACGGAAGACCAGTCGCGCAGCATAGGGCTGGCACAAGCAGAGCTCCATTAGAAAGAGATATCTAAAGAAAGAAAATCCCACAAGCGGTCCTCTAGGTCACAGTCAAATCTCACTTTTCACGGAGAAGGAACTCCGCCTTCTTGGTCTCTGTTTTTACATTCACTGAGTTAATTATACTAAATTAGTTGAGGCGCCTATGGAAACCTAGCTAGCTTCTCTCACTGCCTCTCGCTCTTTTCCATTAACGTGGTCGTTTATGTGGTGTTTAAGTCTTCCTTGTCGTTGTTGTTGTTAGCACCATTGTCGTTGTGTTGCAGTTGTTTATTAGTGTTTCCGGGAGCGTTAACTGCTAAAGTCATTAGACCCGTAATGTGAAGCTGTCGCGGTACACGCTCGAAGTATGCCGACTGCTCTCCCGACATTGGTGGTGTTGCATGGTCTCCCAACAAAGTGTGTGTGTGTATTGTAAGTAAGTAAGGAGGAGGATAGGACAAGAAAAAGAAGATGGCGGCGCGGTATGCCCGTTTGTTAGGGTACTGCTGCGGCCTTCGCCTAGTTGTTAATAAGAAAAACCTTTTACAACTACCGATCAAAACAGACGGCCGCTTGATTCTCATCCAGACAGAGAAAGTGAATTCCTCCTAGCTGTCAAGCTAATGCAAAAATCTGAAACCGATTGAGCCTAAGACTTCCCGGTCGGAGGCCCCACAGTGACAACAACGCCTGAGTCACCTGAGTCGCCGTGGAAACCTTAAATTATCGCTGTCATCACACGTAGCATTGAGTGGTCGTCCCCCATACCCGGTTTACATCGGTATGCTTAAGATCTTCTGTTCTCGTTACCGCGGTCGCGGTGCTCTCACATGTCGCAGCAGCGCGGTTTCGAACACTGACCTCCATCGGCAGGCACGTCTGTAAACAACGCCTGAATCACCTAAGACGCCCGTGGAACCCTAAATACTCGCTGCCATTCACGTAGTCATTAACGTGGTCGCCCCCCTCCCCGGTTTACATCGCAAGTCTCGATTGTTCGTTGCCGCGGTCGCGGCGGCACGTCACAGTCGAGCAGCGGCGGGTTTCGAACCCTAAGACTCCCGGTCGGAGGCCCACGGTGACAAAACAACGCCCCTGAGTACACTTAAGTCGCCATGGAACCTAAATACTCGCTGTCATTCACAGGTAGCCATTGACGTGGTCGTCGCCCCGTTCCCGGTTTACATCGGTGTCCTTAGTCTCGAGGCAAAGTTTCGAATTGTCGTTGCCGCGTCGCGGCGCAGCTCACATGTCGAGCAGCGGCGGGATTTCGAACCCTAAGGATCTCCCGGGTCGGAGGCCCACGGTGACAACACACGCCCTGTGAGTACCTAAGTGCGGCGCTGGAAACCCTAAATACTCGCTGTCGGATTCCACAGGTGAGCCATTGAACTGTGGTCGTCGCCCCTTCCCCCGCGTTACATCGGTGTCTGAGCCGAGGCAAAGTTTCGAGTTGTCGTTGCCCGCGGTCGCGGCGCACTCACATGTCGAGCAGGCGGCGGGTTGCGAACCCTAAGATCTCACCGGTCGGAGCACGGCCCAGTGACAACAACGCCTGGTACCTAAGTCGACCCATGGAAACCCTAAATACTCGCTGTCATTCACAAGGTACCATTGACTCGTGGTCGTCGCCCCGTTCCCGGTTTACATCGGTGTCTTAGTCTCGAGGCAAAGTTTCGATTGTCGTTGCCGCAGTCGAGGCGCACTCACATGTCGAGCAGCAGCGAGTTTCAAACCCTAAGACCTCCCGATCAGAGTCACACAGTGACAACAACGCTCTGAGTCACATAAGACGTCCGTGGAAACCCTAAATACTCACTGTCATTCACTCGTGGCCATAAACGTGGTCGTCCCCCCCTCCCCGGTTTACATCGCGAAGTCTCGATTGTCGTTGCCGCGGTCGCAGCGCACTCACATGTCGAGCAGCAGCGGGTTTCGAACCCTAAGGCCTCCCGGTCGGAGGCAAACATTGACAACAACGCCCTCAGTCACCTAAGTCGCCCGTGGAAACCCTAAATACTCGCTGTCATCCACTCGTAGTCATCAAGGTGGTTGCCCGATTTACATCAGTGTCTTAGTCTCGAGGCAAAGTCTCGATTGCCGTTGTCGCGGCGCATTCACATACGAGCAGCAGCGGGTTTCAAACCCTAAGACCTCCCGGTCGGAGGCACGTTGTAACAACGCCCCGAATCACCTAAGGCGCCCGTGGAAATACTCGCTGTCATCCAGTCGAGGCCATTAACGTGGTCGCACTCCTCCCCGGTTTACATCGGTGTCTTGGTCTCGAGGCAAAGTCTCGATCGTCGTTGGCACTCACATGTCGAGCAGCAGCGGGTACTTGGCCTTGGCGACGTCGTAGTTGGGCGGCAGCCAGAGGCGCACGCGCGCGCGGCGCCCGCGGCGCAGCAGCAGCTCCGCGCGCGCCTCCCAGGGCAGCACGACGGCGGCGACGCGCGCGCGCAGCCTGGGCTGCGCGTCCCACGCCAGCACCGGCCCGCGCTCCAGCGGCCCCGTCTGCGCACGCGCACCGTTACGTCGCCCGTCACGTTGTTTTTGTTGAGGGAGGAAGTATGTTTGGATAATGGGCTATTGGTTTTCTTTAAAAGTTGGTGAAGATAGTGCTCATAATACCTGCTGTTGAACATTTAAATGACGTGTACAGCGCGCGCTCTTGAAGTATAGATTATTTGCTATAAGAAGGGACTATTTTGACAGCTACTGTCTGGCCACTGCTGACAACATAATTGCAGGTTATGCAATTGGCCACTGCAGACAACATAATTGCAGGTTATGTCCATGCACTTATGTTGTCATCGCGTTTATAGATAGCTCATATGTAAATGGCTTCATCACTATCTCTTGTAATGTCATCGCCCGGTATGACGTTCATTTGTTTTACGACCTGTCAAAGTGGGCCCTTCTCAGGAAAAACCTCTGTAGCTGCGAGCACGGGACGCACACAAGCAAGTGCCGACTCTTCGAAGAGAGTCCCAACGGGCAGCGGCGCCGGATATACAAGGGGTTAGCTGGCACCGCTGAGGGAGACTAGCTGTAAGTTATTAGTGAGCTAATTGCGCTTTGTAGTGTGAAAACTATTTCGCCGACCGTGATTTCGTTCACTGCTTGTGCCCCGTCTGAACTTTGCTGACTAAACAACGTTTTGGAACTTCAACTGGTGAACGACTACTTTGGAATTGGACCTGGTTTACTCTTCAGCCGCTTAGATTACTTAGACGTAATTGTGGTACGAATGTGGCTTTGGGAAACCATTGTAACTAATCTCAAAATAAACGGTGTTATTGTTGCGATCTGAATTCCTTGTTTGGATATATTTGGATATAATACATTTTGTTTTGGATATTAAAAAGCTATACCCAAAGCAAAATTATTGTCCTATAAAATGAAATTTCAGTTCGCATTTAATTTAATTGGCATTTCAGTTCGTGTGAAAGTTCAAGCTTATCACTATGAGTCGTGCAAAAACTCTCTCATTTTGGACATCGATGTTCGGTAAGATAGATGTTTTGTTGTCGTCGTCACACCTTTATTCAAGGGGGGTCAATTCCTTTTGCGCATCGTATCCGATATCAGCCAATGAACTTCAAGCACCAGTTTGCGTCACAATATTAGCCGGAATTTTAAATGCCCAAATTATCACGACATTGAAACTGAACTATTAAGTACTTTTTTATCGTTTATTTCAATTACACCTTCATCGTGTTATTTTTGATTGGTCACCGTTAAACATTATCACTTTGTGCAACTTTCAAATTGTTTCTCAATACTTCTTGCTCTCCATGCAACATGGCCGCCTACGACTGATCTGGCTTTTCAAACAAAGTTCCCGTGTTGTGGTCACATGGATCGTCACGCAAACTCGTGCTGGGCAGAACGAACAAAAATCGCTGCATCGAAGTAGCTCACCCATATCTTTCCACCATGACTCCATAGTGCGATTTTTTTAATTGTACACCTGAGCCCTGTCTTCACATTGGTATTAGGCCATTGCATTTCGCATCTTTCTCGGTCATGCCGCTATTTGTAGCGACCGTATCAAGCAGTGGTTCAAGGAATCAAGCAAGGGAACGTGTTACAGTACCGTGGATGTGGTATACTGCAACTGTTTTTTTCGTGTACAGTCGCGATCATGCGACATCTATCGACAAGATCGAGAAATACCCGAAATGCAGTGCCAATGTGAACCCAATAATGTCACTGTGAAGTTAGGGCACAGGTGCACAGTTAGAATTGCACTATAGAACAATAGTGGAAAGATACGGACGGCTACTCCGGCGCACCGATCCGGGCATATGTGGGGGCGACTCCGGCGCACAGTTAACAAAAATCGCACTATAGAGGCATTATGGCAAGGTACGGGTGGCTACTTCGGTTCACCGAACCGGGCACAGGTGGGAGCGGCTTCGGCGCATAGGTGCACAGTTAAAAAAATCGCACTATAGAGCAATGGTGGAAAGATACAGGTGGCTCCTCCGGGGCACCGATCCGGGCATATGTGGGGGCGACTCCGGCGCACAGTTAAAACAAAAACAAAAATTAGAAATGGTCATATTGCTGCTGTGTTTTGGTTTTTTAATTAGCCAATAGTTTTTCAATTCAATTTTTATATTTTTATTTCAGTGTGGACAATATTTCTGAAAGGCAAAACAAATATTGTTAACTTGCGCGGGTTATGTAGAGCACAAAGTATTTTCCATGAGAAAAACAGGATATGTTTTATTGTAAATATTATCAATGTGAACCAAGTGCAATTTATAACCGACCTTCCTAGCTATAGAATTAGCTTTTATAAATTTTTTCCACAATTCGCAGAGATTAAGTAGAATCTTTGAGCATAAAATTAGAAAAGAATTGCATTGACTGTAAAATTTCAACAATGCATCAGTTACTGAAAACAATGTTAATGAAATCTCAGAAGGAAATTTTAAGGGTCATAGTTATTTAAAACTGTAAACATTTGCATTCAAATATATACATTGTTTCTTAAAATGATAATTTGACTTCAATTTAATTTCACCATGACTAGATTTTAAAATAAAAATTGTGAAATATACATTTAACTTTTTTCAATTAGAAAGTGCAGAAGTATGATTTTCATTACATTTGTAATAAATTCTCAACAAACTTTCAGTTGAATTATCCTGCAAACAATATGATGCGATGCTTTGATGGATATATATTGATGTATTGCTGATACAGGAACGGTTTTCAGTTAGTGCAGAATGAAGAAGAATTAAACGGGGTCCTGGAAGAGTTCCAAAAATGATAATTGCATCTCAATGTTTTAGCATCTCATTTCTTCTGTAATCACAAATCCATATTAGTCATTGATTAATTCGTTTTTTATTTCATTACAGTTTATGAATAAAACCACCATATGTTTTAACAGTTAGGCTTTTGTTCTCATAACTGACAAATCATTACATGGTTGCTGTTGAAAGCAGAAACACTTTGTTTGTAAGTTTTTAATGTGAATAAAACTCTCCAGAAACTGTACTTTAATTAACTTTTGTTTATTTTTGTTGATAAAAGTTCCAGTTCAGGAAACAGCTGATTATTTGACAAAAATAAGTACTTCGTTTCCTGATGTCTCATGGTGATAATATAGCGTATAGAGAAAGACCTGTAAAATTCTGCGTGGAAAAATTTCTTAATTTTTTACTGAAAAATTTGTTTTGTGGGTTTCTAGTGCAGAAAAAGTGAGTTTTTTGTGCTCCTTTATACAGTAAATTTTTTTTTTAAACACTTGGTTGTAAACATACATGGAAGATTTAGTGAGTCCTAGATCCAAAAAAAGTCATTTTCTGAAATCCAAACCTGGAGTCTGTCAATTGTGGACACACTGCCTAGCATGTGAACTATTTCAGAAACCAATGACATTTTATCAAAATGGTTCCAAAGTTTTCTTTAAATATTTTTTCTGAAAAAAGAGAAAATATTATGCATTTCCACACTTCTTGAACGTCTGAATTTGAAAAATTTATCAACTACATAATTGCAGCATAAGATTTATTTGTGAATAAAATCTGTCTCTCCAAATGAGATCTTAATTAAATGTCATACACAATTTTTGAAAGTGGCAGTACTTTTTGTTTAATTTTGAGTGAAATCATGGCAAAAAAAACAACAACATAAAGAAGAAAAATTCTCAAAAATGGCTTCTAAATTTTTTTTACTTTTTTTCTTTTTTTTCCCTCCCAAGGAGAGTAAAGATGAACAGATTTTGTGGTGTGAACAGTTATCAAATTGGAAATGTTGTACCCAAGTTTGCAAGGCTCAAATCTGACAAAGGCCTTAGATATATGAAGCTGTGAAAAATCCTTTCCAAATGGAGCGGAGTAAAAGTGGACTGCCCCCATATTATTGATTTTACAGCTGTAAAAGGTCTTCAATCTACAGAAAGCCTCTGAAGTCTAAATTCTAAATTGTCGTGTGACATCGCTCCAAGTGATGCCTTCTTCTCTCAGCCAGATTGGCAAAAGGAGTGTATTAAAATTTGCAAAATGTGAAAATGCTTCAAATTCTTTTCAATTTTATGTTATAGCCTTTAATATTGAAGCTAGAGATTGCTTTGTAAATACAAAGTATTCTAAATATTAGATTTTCAAATAATTTCATGTTGTACCCTTATTTTTAAAAATATTAGCTAGTTTTCGATTCTAAATTTTCTAGTTTGGCATATTTTATACCTTGCAAGTTCTCAAATATTGATTAAATATTTAAATGAAAATGTATCAGTTAGTGGCCTAGAAACCCCAAAAGCTGCTCCAATGCCTGACATCCAGGAGGCAGAGCAGATGAACGCTTTAAATATTTTACATCAAACAATTAAGATAAAACAAATGCAGTGAAAAGCAATAAACTCCTTTCTCTGGAAGCCTTCTATATGCCAACAGTTACAGCACCCCATGCCATTTCTATATTTGTTAGAATTAAATGAAATTGCTGTCACTGACTATTAGAATGAAGTGTTGCATTTACTGGTGTCATGCTAATATTGTGCGAAATGCTCTTATTGAAACACCGTTTTTTATCAAATGAAAATTTTAAGAAAAACTAAAATCTCCTATTTTTATGGAGGATTACAAATGTGCAGACTTTGCCTTGCTGGGTAAACACATACCGAAATCTTCAAATAAAAATATTACTCTTTAACAATGCATCACGAACCTTTTCATAATTAATGTTCTCACTTTCTCAGTTAAAATGTTAGCTCAGTAAATCGTCAGTGTGATAGGCAACTGAAGCACTGGTTGTTATTGATTTGAAGAAAGACAAAAATTCGCTGACCTAAACTAATCACATGATTTGCTTAAACTACATGCGCATTTTCCCAGTGATCAAAAGCTTTGTACCTGCCCTATTTTAAAGTAAAATTTGAAAATATGTTTCCTGTCCACCGTATAGTTTGGGAAAACTTATTTCAAAAATTTAAAACAGAGTGCTACGAATGGACGACGGTTCATCCTATGCCATTCGATGCCTTATGTTGGCGA